AATTTTTAGATGAGGACTAATAATTTTAAAATCTAGTCAATCGAAGAGCTAAATAGAGGTTAAGCAAGTTATTAATTAAAGAATTGTCTAATTTGAGTTTAAATTTTATAAATAAAAAATAATTATAGAAAATTTTTTTTATAGGATCTGATATAATATTATTTTAAATTAATTAAAATAAAATACAAGAATTAGGGTATGCAGAATTCAAGTATGAAAATACATGGCCAACGCAATATCAAAACAAACATCAAAAACAAAATAATCCGCGCACATGCTGGGGTTGCACTCGAAGAATGGTAGCCAGGAGGGCTATGCAGCCCAAAATCAAGGGAAAGGGGGATAGGGCAACGGGTTTTTGTGAGGTTGGGGAGTCCTCTCCGTCGCTTTCTCCGTGAACGGTGGAGATAGGGGTTCATGTGAGAATTTTTTTACAAGAAAATGATTTTTGAATAATTTTTTTTATTATTATTTGATATAATTTAATGTATCATTTAAATGGTTGATTTTTTTAATTTATATCAAATTTATGATATTGAATCATCCACTCGACACATAAAAATTATATCAAAAATTAATATAAAAAATTATATTTATAATACCATCCTTTTTTATAATAGTAGATTTTACGGTCTCATCCTTGCAAGAGATGGGAATCCTGGTTAACTTATACAAAAATAAATTTTTTCATATATAATCAATTAATATTCAAATAAAATGAACAAAATTTTAAGAGTTTCAACACAATTAACTAAAATTATTTAAATATAAAATCAAATATAAATTGTCAAAATATAAATAAAGATCAATTTAGTATAAATAACTAAACCAACATAAAATTTGTACCTTACACAACAATAACAACATCCAAATTGTTAGATTTGGATTAGTGGTAAAATTAAATATAAATTGTCTAAATAAAAATAAAAATTAATCCAATATAAATAATTAAACCAACATGAGCTAAATTATGTAAAATTTAGTTAAATTTAATTTTTATTGAGTTAAATTTAAAATGTATTGTGATATATTAGATTGGATTAAATTTAAAATAAAATTAATTTATATATTTTTATAATTTTTATGATGATAAGGATCTCTACTAAACAAGAAAAATTCATTGTATAAATTCATAAAAAATTATCCCTCGTTTTCACCTCACCCTCATGGAGCTAGTCACCATGAAACCTCACGATGATAGAGGAAAATTGCTACCATTGAATAAGGATAATCAAATAAGCGTCACTGGATAAAAGATGATAGGCAATATATGAATCCATTTTAACAAACAAACACTGCAAGTTATGCTATGTATTATATTTTTCTTTTGGTGTTGTGACTCTCTTTTAAAGGAAAATTTCATATTATTCTATACAATAAAATACCATGTTAATGTGAAGTTTGTTCATTAACATGGTGACACATTGATATAAATATTCCCCAATTGAATTCCATTGCTATTCTCCTTATCCAAAAAAACTCTGTATCATGGTCTTATAAATTTAACAATAAAAGAAACATATACATAAAAACTTACAAATTTAACAAATTA